ATTTCTGACCTACATGTATGTGCGAACACTTTTCTGAATGCCATAACTAAGGGCCATTAGAAATTAACTCCTGCAGCGGACTAAACATCAAAAGCGGACTAAACAATCGATTTGTTTAGTCTGCTGTTGTATCGCCAAGCTAATTCATGAAAATACGAACTACGTAGCCGAGACGAATCGTCAGTGACGATCACATCGCAAACTGTTTCAATCTAGTGAGGTCGCAGCGGCAAGCATGATGCGTTTAAGGTGTTTTTGTGTGCTGCTGCTACTCATTTCCTTCGGTTGCTACGACCTCGCACATGCCAAGGACACAAATAAGGAGGTAGCTGAGAAACCCACCTCAGATCCCTCGGTATCTCAACGTGTCAACGCGCTCCTCGACCTACTTGCAAAAGACAACGAGACAGTTCATACAGATGAAGACGACGAGAAAGACGAAGCACGGGGCCTTGACTTGTTGAAAAACCTTTTTAGGTGGAAAACCAAGAATGCAACGAACGGACCCAACGCTTATCAAAGAAGTGGAAAATTTAAAGACCAATCCAGTGGTTATGAAGAATCTCAAGAGTGTCAAAGAAAATCCAATGGTGATGAAAAGGCTTGAAACTCTACAGAATAACCCTAGACTGGTTGAATCGCTGCAAAAGGCTCCTAAGCAACAGAGCATCAGAAAAGTGAGCTCATACCTTTCCAGAGGCCAACACCTTTCCGAGGAAACAAAATTTACTATTTGGGGCCTCGCCGGCATCGCTGTTTTCATCAGTCCGCTACTTCTAGTTGCCCTACTGGGCCACTGAGGGAGAAAACCAGTTGCTGGCGAGCACAAATGGCACTTTCGCTGCAGTTCCGAAGAAAACCTGCCACGATAGTTTCGCGACCAGCACCGCGTCAAAGGAAATGTCACAGTTAAGTAAGCTTCCCGTCGTTGTCGAATCCCTGTCATTGCAATATCGAGATCGAGAGGTTTTGTTGATTGATGTTCAACCACAAAAAATGAAAGCAACATGTACAAAAAACTTAATTCAATCGTTTGGCGTTTCGTGACTATAGTATCCATACTTGAGTGGCACATTGTTGCTACACGGCGCGGTGAACGATGCGCACATCGGTAAAGTCTTGAAATCCTTCAAAGCTGTGAAGTTCGTCGAGCGAATTCATGGCTGCTAATACAAGGCATCGCAATTTTTTTTTAAGCAAAATCTACTGTACGCAGGAATTCGAGCTTTAATAAGTTTACTGGCATAACGAATTTTCTTAGACTCGTTTGATAAATGCAAAAAAAATTGCGGTGACCAAACATCATACCGACGAGTTGTGCGATTATAGGCTCTATAGAATGGGAAGCGTATTTTTTTCTTCATTTTACGATTTTAATGCAAGAAAAAGCTTATCCATAGCTGTCGCCTTTTTTCTTCCTACTTACTTCAACGACAGATCGGGGCAGATCGTTTGGAGGTGCCTCTGGACGGAGAGTTTCTTTCCTTTGATCTTCTTATAACAGATGGGGAATTTCGGGTTTGTGATGAATTGTCTTATACCGAGTTGGCAAAACAGACTGCTGCAAATCTGCTTCTGGAACTGGCCGGTAGGTGGATTTTTGAACGGATAAACTTGGTAATCGGTGAGAACGTTGCAAATGCCAAGGTTTGTCTCGACGAAACCAGTCGTGGCCATGGAGTGGATGGTGTCCAACTGAGCTTGGGTGCATGAGTCGTTAGAGCCTGAAGAAGCAGCAACCATTGTTATCAGCACTAGCAGCAGGTACTGGAAGCGGGCAAACATCATTTTTCGTCCGGGTTAATGTTCGCTCGAGCAGTTCGATGCCAATTGAAGAATGGTGAAAGAAGGAAAGCCGTCGTTTACCGAAATAAGTCTTTGTAAGGACTTGCATCATCACTTGATCAGTGTTCGAATTATTGCATTCGTGGTAGAACACCTAGAACGTCTGGTGTGTTGACCAAGACCTCGAATTGTACCAGTATTTTCAGGTAGTTTAACGTACAAGTCTCAAATTTGGCTGCTTAATATTGGCGATGTGTATAACGCTGTCGATGTCAATTGATGCCTCCGACTAAGTCAGCCGCTGCGAAGCCCGTCAAGTATTGCCGTGAATGGTGGATATCACTGACCTTAATACTTGCGGAAGATATAGATAAGCACAGCAATGGAGCCGAAAGCAAGAGCGAGCACGACGAGACTCCCAACAATATTTGCGACATCGTTCGACAAGGATTCGTCTTTGGCCAGGTATGAATACAGCTTTTGTGCGCTTCGTTCCTTGACGAGTCTTGGGTTCTTCTCTAGCGCCTCGAGCCTATTCACAATCACAGGGTTTGTTTTCTTGACAGTGCTGACATCCTTCATCAACCCTGGATTGCTCGTCAGAAACTCCACTTGCTTGCTCAACGCTGGGCTCTTCTCTAACGTCGCCATATTCGTGGGAGTCGGACGAAACAGATTTTTTAACGAGGTAAAATCCCGAACTTCCTTTTCCCCATTGCCACTAGCTGTGGGAGCTGTTGCGTTGCCGCTTGGTAGCTCCTGATTTGCGTCGACCGCTTGTGAAGTCGCTCGTGCTAGATCGCTGTAGCAACAGCACAAGCTGAAAAGAAGCAGTGCTAGGAAACAGCCTCGGTGCATCGTGATTATTGCGCCTTCACAACGTGGGTTTATCGATATGTAAGGTAGACAATTTCCGGCGGCTCGAGTGGGGGCGTACAGCTCTCTGTTTACCCGTGTAAAACTGATGGTGAGGATGCTGCAAAGGGTTTGTCATGCGGATTAGGTAGATGCACTCGATGGCGAAATCAACGCCCGAAATGATGACAGCGCGCGGCGCGTAATCCGGGTGCTGATCACAGTTAAGTTGAGTTCACCATCAAACACGTATGCAATCGTATCCTAATCCTGCAGTTATCCTGCATGTTTTTTTATTGTTTTAAAAGAAAAGGTTACTTCGTTTGTGTCATTACATTTAATTAAAGGCTCGAGGTTAAATACATGTATTAATACCTAGAACACGGATTACAGACAACGACGGTGAAATCCGCCACCCTCTGAAAGCCATCCTCCATAGTAGTTCTTTTTTTGTTTTCGCGACAGGAAAATCCGTCGCACATTTTTATTGGCAGATAAAACGAATTAATTAGCAAAAAGCAAAGTTGAAAACCTCAACGTCTAGTGGCTGGCAGGCCGCTGTACTGTTGGGCGGTAGCTGGCATACCAGGGCCGACGTTGTCTCGACAACAACATCAAGTCCTTCTTTTGAAACATGTGCGTCGAAGTTATCGAGTATAAGCACTGATAGTGCCTCGATCTCGAACTTGAGCAGCTCTCGTACATATATCGTCCGCACTTTGGCATCCATAAAACTGCTCTCCTGCACTGAGTATACATGACCAACCGGATGTGCTAGTAGCTCCACGACTATCACACTATTCAATAAAGCAATTATATAAAATCAGCAAAATCAAAAGATATTACCGTGCTGCAAACCGCTGACATAGTCTCATAAACGCACTTAGACCCTTCTCATCGCTTTCCTTACCAGCAAGATACGTTTGAAGCCATCGCGTTTGCTGCTCTTTGAAATATTGAATCAGTAAATCTGTACAAATACTAAGCAACAAGCGGTTTTAGGTCACAATGTAAAAAGTAAATTAATATGAAGGCGGTTTACCCATTCTTCTCGTCGCACGTCCTTCATAAAGGTTACCAAATCGTGAGAGAAGTGTATTAACGGCGCTGCACTCTGGCCCTTCAAGGTTTTGCTGGTTTGGGCACCCGCAAAGTCTTGGATGTTCTCTTTATCGTCTAGCCAGTCGCGAAGAGTCGTGCGAAGGATATTTAGTCTCTTTGATGCGGCTTGGCAGCTTCCTAACGACTCAGCAGTCGCGATTGCTTCGCGCTTGGTTAGAATTGTATAGGAGCGCTGAGGCGCCCTTTCCAGAGTGATAGAAATTCTAACTATATGTGATATGCTACCCGTAGGAACCAGTCGATTCTATTTACTCTATCATTGGCTAAAATAAAAACTTGCTCAAATCTTTTATTTTTGAACTTCAAGTGTTCGTGGCGGATTTGTATGGTATGGCGGATTTCACCGTCGTTGTCTGTAAATTATTCAGTTAGGTACTAAAGAAGAGCAGTATAGAAAAATACATGCAACCTGGAGTTTATCAACATAGTAAGCAAACTCGCTCTCTAAAGTTGTATTTTAATACAACAAGTGTATTAAAACACACTTGTTTCTACATGTCGACACAAAGAAAACCAGTTTACCTGATGATGGTACCGTGCATCATCATCAGATATACAGAGTGCTCGCATCCATCCGAGCAGCCGGAATTTCTACCTCACATATCACCTTGAAATAGGTACTTTAGACTCAAGTACCGGTACCTCGAATAACAAGAGGCGCTGTGATCACTCGAAGCGTCAATGCTTTATCTTAGCCCTGCTTCTATTCGTCTTTTGCTGCAATAGCAATCCAACGAGTGCCGAGAAAGCAATCGAGGGGCCCATAAAAATCAACTCAAGTCTTTCCGTCGATCAGAGCTTCCCGAGAGGCAATGTAAAAACAGGTCACGCAGATGGCAAGCGCAAAAGATGCTCAAGGCATCTCGTTGAATAACTATTTCGTAGAGTACGGGCGCTACAGAAGAGCCCAGCGCTTAACAAGCAAGTGTAGCATCTTTTGTGAAGAGTTTCAAGGCTGTCATAAAAATCGAAATTCAAGAGAATGGCCGTAGGGTCTTTGACAAAAGCCCCAAGGAAGAAAGCGCAAAAAAACATTCGTACTTCGTACCTGGCCAAGGACGAGTCTATCTCTGACGAAGCTGATAATATCCTCACGAAGCTCCTCGCCCTCATTCTTGCTGAAGTATGGTTAGCTATAGTTTCCATTTACACTGTACCTTCAATCCCTCATTTGAGGTTAATACACGTATACGAGGTGGAAAAATAAACGAGTCCATTTATTTGAGTTAAGCGATCCCTCAAATATACGATGAGTTTGTGCAGCCAAGCCAGGCTTCTTCAACTGGATCACAAGGTTCTCCCACCCTACGTTGAATTTGCAGTCTTCGCATAGCGATATACCCCGACGAGGTTGAGCAGTTGATGACCATCATTCGAGTATTGAAGCACATGCCGTCCACGCCGTTAAGCTTGCAATATCTGTATTTGATGCCATTGCAGAGGTCATCTGTCGAATGCTTGGTTGGTGCAGCTTTTGCATGGCTAAAGGGAGCAGCCGACGGGGGACAAACAACACCCCCAAAGGTTGCCAGGGTGGCATTGTCTTCTGCCGAAATGCGTTCATCCGTGCAGGTTAGAGGGTGCATCTCCCCTGCTATCGGTAAACATTGGCCTTCCGTCATGTTACAGTTTTCCGTCAAGTACCCATTGCAGCAAACTGCGATTCGTGACGCCACTATAAAGTGTTGCATACTCTTGAGAGGTTGAACCGAGGGCAGCATCGCGACGCGTGGTAGGTGCTCGAGGTGCAGGTCTGTAAGGTCCGAAAGCCCCTGGAAGCTTGGTATTTCTTGGAGAGAATCCATGACTGCCAATGCCAAGTATCGCAAGTTATTGAGCGATGATAAAGACGGCAATTGCTCTAGATCTGGATGCACACCTAAATGAAGGAATGCGAGGTGTGACATGGTGTCAAAAATCCCATCAGACATAGTTTGAAGCCTTTTGCTGGTGTAGTCTCCCTCGATATGTCTGTAATGAACAAAAGTTAGAATTTGGCATGTTCCAGATTCTAATTTCTGATACTTACAAAAACTCCAGGTGAGAGAACTTTGATACCCATTCTGGAAGATGTTCAGTTTTAGTGTATGCCAGAATTAATTGTTCCAAATGGTCGCAATTCTTTAGTTGTTCTGGCAATTCTGGAACAGCCCGGTTGATAATCTGGACGATACGTAGCTCTCCTGCTGTCGCTAGTTCAGCCAGATCACTCGTAGTGTCAACGGGGTTTGTCCATTCGGCATAAGTCGTTGGTGCGATTTGACGGTCAGCAAACACCAGACAAGTGCAATGTTTCTCGCCATAGTTCCATCGAAAACTTGCAAGAACGCACTTGTCGTACTTACTGCACAGCGCCGTCGTCGAGTGCACAGCCCCAATCGAGTATACGAACATGCAAATCCCCGCCACCAGAAAACTAAGCGATAGAAATAGCTTAGAAATGAAATGTTGCCCGAATTTCGGCTTTGGAATTGTGCCCGAGAGTCTTTTCGTAAGGTAAGCCTTGATCACTCCCGTCTGGGATTCTTGCAGCACCGGTTTTACCGACGCCCTTCGTTTGCGCTCAGCCTGTCGCTCGTGATGGTTGTGAATCAATGTCGTTATTATTTTTCGCCATTTGTACAGCGATAAAATATTCAGCGCAGACTTGTAAAAAAGTGTTGACCCCACAGAGAATTGCAAATAGTGGAACGCACTACAGAAACTTGAAATTTGCGAGGAATCGCCGTATATCCGAGCTACCGTGTCAAAAGATCCGACGCCAAGTGTTTCGATTCTCGTTTGGAACGCGGCGCGATCAAAATCGAATGTGTCGACGTAGTAGATTAACACCACCAGTGGAGCAAACACTGCAAAGAATAAATCAAAGCTACAAAACACAAAAATCCGTTGAGAGTAAGAAAAAAAAGAAAACCTGAGCAATCTTACGTGTAGTAAAGTCGAGCGATGATGAGATCAGGGTCCGCTACGTAGCGTTGGTTCCGGTAACACGTCGCGAGCCAATTACAGAGTAACAAGACGGAATAATAATAAATTATCGCAATCGGAAAGCCTTTTCGGAGATATGTTGCCAGCGTCAGCGTCTGAAAAACGAGTTTGGGAAGATCAAGCGCCGCAGTCTGCATACATGACGCGAATTTTAGACAATTTTGTACGAATTAGAGGAGGTAAGTCAGTGTGCTTACGAAGTAGTGCTCTCGGATATCTGCTGGTAATTCGCGGACCCAAACGAAAATTCGCTGAGCAAAATTCCCTTCGTCGCCATTTGTGTTCGCCACTTCGGCCGTGGTATTTTCTAAAATGTCATCAAGTTTCAAATTCTCCTTCGGCGCACCAACACGATAGAAAAACATCATTGTGACCGTCAGAGCAGTATATCCGATCCCGAAAATGGTCAGCAAGACCACCGAAGACACGACAATGGACTTTTCAGGTTTCGGGAGTAGCCAGAATTCTCCGTTGTCGAACTCTGTGGTGTTCATGATGGTGTTGGCGATGCTATCTGCATGGATTTGTATAGCTGCCATCACGAATGTCCAGGCGGCGGAGACCACGAATGTAATGATCATCGGTATGCCCAGCACACCGAAGACGTCGTAAAAAGTTGCAGCCTCCGTCGCAACAATATTTACGACGTGCGGTGCAAGATCATGCAGCGATCCAGTCCAGGAGCTTTTCGGCGATAACGAATTCCTTATCGAAGGTCGTGGTGGCTTGGTTTCGTCCATCTTAGCGACGGCCTTTCGGTGACCTTTCTGCTCGTCCAGGTCCCCAACACAGTCCGTTCGATACATCAGAAGTACTTCGGGGTCCGTTGTTGCAGAGTTTTTTTCACCGCCGGCAGAAAACTCCTGGCTTGGAGAGAGGACATCATCACCTCCTACTGCCATGTTCTCAATGTCCACGATGAGAGACTTTCAGTGAGCAATCGTATTCACTGAAACCTCTGTATTTATAAATGCAAAAAAAGAAAATGTCAAAAATATCTAGATGCTGCTTAAAAAAGTTTTGGATGATAATCTAGAAGCTGTCTAACTTATGGTTTCTAAAAGCATCAAAGGAGGTGATGTTTTTTTTGTATATTTGAATCACGATAACTACACATTTTAACTTTCTTATGGTGCGTGGTGACTGCACAGCCAACGCAGTGCTTCACTGTTAGTCGATACACGACGCAAAGCAGCCCAGCTGCTTCGTTCATCCATAAACAAAAGATTTTCATCAGTAACCAAGGCGTCCAGCAGGTTGCGGACATATTCACGTTTGTCCTCGCTAAAAATGAGGTTCGTCAGTTGATCGAGAACTTCTAGAGCGTTTTTCCGGTCTCTAGATTTTAAAAGTTGCTCCATCGGCGCCAATTCGACCTTATTTACAAGGTTCACCGTGGCGAGCTCCATACGCTCCAAAGCGCTGTAGAACGTTCGCAGTTCTTCCCATTGCTGAGGCCCAGTGAGCCCACTGACTTCTTCTATGCTTAATCCGTTAGACAAGATCGCACGAGCCTCCAGGAACAGCATCGTTTCTCGTACGAGCGGCATCACCAGAGACAACAATGAGGAAGACACGCTCACTCCATACTTCGTTGTAGTAGCGATACTACACGGAATAACGTCGCCAGATTCACATGATTCGCACATAAAAACGAGAGGAAAACGGAGTTCATCGACACGTTGTTCTTGAAGTCGCTTGAGTTTTGAAACCCACTGATCTTCCGAGAAAAAGCTGGCACGTTGTGTCAAGTCGATTTCAAGCTCTTTGGGTGGTAGAAACAGCCATAAACTTGGCGGTAAGGGCTCTGGACTCAGCTCTTCTTCGAGTTCCTCTGAAACTTGATCAAAACCTGGTTCAGTTGATACCATAATTCTGTTAGAAACACACGGAGACATCAGCTCTCTCTCTTCTATTATCGCCGAGAGCATCCGACACGTGACTGTAGTCAGTCGAGATACTTCACGCTCCTTGGGATCAAACACTTTGTGCTTAGAAATGGCTTCGATCGTCGGTCTTGATTTAGAAATACTGTTCAAACATTGACGCAGGAGATCTTTCATGTCGTCGTTGGGTACAAATCGAGTAATAGATCGCTCGAAAAGGCACGTATATGACTGTTCCTCATCAATATCAGTAGACGTAAGGCGCTCAAACACGTCGTGAGGTGTTGAACAGCCCTTGAACTCTTCTAGTTGATGTCCAGACGCGTACATCTTAAGGATTATCACTCCAAGATTCCAGATATCCAATGAAAATGAGGTTCGAAAACTTGATATCTCATCCAGTGTAAGAGCTGCTAGCTCCGGTGCAATGTATTCCGCTTGATGAACGCTAATCAGATCTGTATCTGGACATGGGACTTTATGTCCTGCTCTCGAGGCATGTTCGAGACCCCAGAACTTCAATCGTCCGTCGGGTGAGCACGCTACCAGACTGTGTATATCAAGAGCTCCATGGACAAGACCTCGTGTGTGTAGAGCTCGAACTGCCGCTACCACACGATAAATCTGCTGTTCCAAAGGCTCACGAGACACCTCGATATGTGCACGTAGCGTAGTGCAGTCTGGTTGATTCAACACCAAAATACAGCAGCCTATCTTGACAGACTGACCAACTTTAAGTTCGTATTCCAATGCGTCATCGACTAACCGAGGCGCAAAACGTCGAGAAAAGTCGTCGTTCTGTAGACACGACAGCGCGTAGCTCTCTCGTCCTGCAAGATCCGCGTCTTCTTCGATGAAAACCTTAAGTACCAGTTGCCCCAGTGGCGCAGGATCACTTGAATCTTTGGAGTTTACAAGACGACAGCTGATGAAAAACGCCAGTGGGGTCTCCTCAATGTCAGTATCTGTGTTGAAGGCGTACTGACAGCCGTTCACAGTCAGCAAATGCTGACCGGTATCGTTGGATTTCGTCGTTACCAGCGTCTTCAATGCTGCTCGGAGTGCATTTCTGGCTGCAATTCGTACTTGAGCGGGTGTCGCACTCGCCGTACTGTGAGTGCTGAGCAGCTCGAGAGAGTGATTACTATCTCCGTTTTCACGTTTTGATACTTGTCTCTTTCTATTGAGTTTCGATGCTATTTGAGGAGACTTCAGGTTGACGTAACTCGCATTGGTACAACTTGCGGATTGTCGAGGTTGTTCGGAATTGGTAGGAGACATTGGGATGATAAAGCACGAGTCACGCTCGTCGACATCTAGGTTGTCTCGAGTTGACATTTGACTGCGAGAAAGCTCACTCTCGATAGCCGTAAAGTGTCCCGAAGTTTCGGATCGTTCCCAAGTCGACTTGTCGAAAGGATGAGGGAGTTCCAGAATCCCATCTGTATCTCGTTCTTGTAGTCGTCTACGCTTCCGAAGAGCGAAACCAAGCGTGAAGCCCACGACCAGCATCGCAGGGATGGCGATGGACAGAATGGTGATGGGGGGCACGTTCCCGCTGCTATTTTCTTTGACGGTAGTGACGCTCTCTTCGCTTCCAGACGAGGTGGACAATGGGATACTTACTGACTCCGTTTTGTTTCTCGCAGCTTTCGCAGTGCCCACAATCGAGTTTCTTTCTTCTTGGTTAAAGGAATCCAAAGCTGCAAGTATTTCACTGTCGAGATAAAGTATCTTGGCTTCAATCCACTCAGTCAACTGCCTCTTGTGAGCAGAAGTCTCGGTCGATAAATCCATCGGGTTGTTGCGCAGGTCAATAGTAGAAACTCCACTTGATAAATCGTAAATAAAAGCTGGAATTTTACCCAGGTGATTTTGACGAAGATCACTAAATATCACAGTAACGTGTTAGCAAAACACATCAACTTTAACACACAAATACGGTTCTTACACGAAGGATATGATTGAATCTGCGACTGCGGAGCTGTCTGTCAACTTGAGAGAAATATTCCTCAAGCCGCAACCCACGATTGAGCTGGTAATGAAGGAAGAATGAGAATGGGCACCAATTAAAAATCATGAAGCTTATTGACCGTACATTTTCTGAATTGATTTTGGAAGTACCACTTGAAAATCACTGTCAGCAATCGGAATTCCTTCTAAATTTCTGTCAGCAACAGTATAGGTTAGCTCGTTATGCAATACCGGACAGGTAGAATAGCTTACAATGTCTGCAGTGTCGAGATCTCAGAAAAAGAGGTGGGTAGAATATTCACGGGTGTCTCGGGCGTGAACCCTGCAGCTGCTAGCAGTGAGAACGTCGTAATGAAGGAAGAAACGAGGGCATCGACTTCGGAGAAAGCGGACGAGAGCTTCAGGTCCGATCCAGAGGTAACAACCGACGCTCCATTATCCACGTAGTAGTTGTTCACCAGTAATGGATCGAAGGATGCCGACGACGTGGTATCCGAGTCCTCATTGATGCAGCGTACAGTCCACTTGGTCGCTGACTGTGATCCTAGAGCGACGCGGCTACAGGTTGACGCAGCCAAACTTGTGCTCCAAACGGCAAGCACCAAAGCTGTCAGTATCATCTTTACCGATTGCATTTTGTGGTACGGCAAGCCAAACTCCGATAGGCGAGAGAATGACTGTCGTTCGCTTTGAAGGAGCGATGGAAAATGAAGAATCGCGAGGGAAGGGCGGAGGAATGTAAGTGAAACAGCTCGACGTTGGAGTCTCTGCGCATAACGTGCTGAAGGGGTCAATCTTGACCGAAAGAAGACCTTGACGACACTGAGTACAGTTGACGCCGTTATCCAACGGCTACTGATTTCTAAACCAACGCAACGGAAAACCTTAAATCCGTTGCTGATCCTTTGACGACCAGCTCAATTTGGCAAGCTGCGATTTGCGAGATACATGCACTTGACATTAGCGAGTATTCTTTGGAGCAGTCGACACCAGAATACTCATGAGATCGACATGCATGAAAAGCCCAATCTTGCTGCATTAAAGACGAGAACCGATTGGTGAAACGTCAAAAAGTTCGAAGACCGTTGACGTGTTCGTGTCGTTTCGTGCGCAATGCTCTTCGCGCCTGTTCATTAAACCTCGCTGAACTTCTCGCTAGACGAGGGTACTGTAGGCTACAGTGTAGGTGTCCGCAGTCGACGTCTTCGAAGCGTCACAAGTATTACTTGCCCAGAATGGCAAATAAAACAATTAGGTTAGAAATGTGAATGTACCCCATTAAGTTCTGTCTGCCGCGATGACATAACCCAAGGCCAATGGAAAGCAAAACTCAGTTGTATTGAGGGAGTACGTCGCACTTGTACGCTGAATATTCAGCGCCAGTGTTTTTCTGTCCTGGTTCTCTCTTCTTCCAGTTCTTTTACACCACTCCCTGGCGAAACATGGCAGCGGCGACACTCATGAACGCCGTGATGTTCGCCCCAACGTGGAGGTCACCGCCAGCGTTGAACTCCTCGGCCGAAGCTGCCACGCGGTCGTGTAACTTGTCCATGTATTCTATAACCATAACCATAACCAGTTAGTAACCTTTCAGGACGCACCAGATCGTAACCATTCAAAACGTACCCTTCACGATCACATCCACCTCGTCGTCTAACATCTGCGTTGATGATCCCAGATTCTTGGTAATCAGAGCGAACGAGCCTCCATTGGACGCCTTATTAGGACCGAAAGCCAGACCGTGCTGCTTAATGAGACTGATGGCCTCATCCGTGCAAGGAAAGTTGGCACCCTCAAAGATTCCCTTGCAGCCATTTTTGACCAGTAGACGCACGGCATCGGCGTCCACGTCGTTCTGAATGGCACACGGGAAGGCGTAATCACAGGGCGTCTCCCACAGACGACCTTCCTCGCTCGGATGGTAGTTTGCCGTCGTGGACGACATGATGTAGGCGCCCAGACGAGCGTTACGCTCTTCTTTGATACGCTTAAGCTCCTCCAGACTCTTACTCGAGAAGCCCTGGTCTTCAATGACGTAGCCAAAGTTGTCGCTCATACCGATCGGGATGGCTCCGAAATCCAGCAACTTTCGCGCAACATTAAGCGCTACTGTGCCACTACCGGAGATGAGACAACGTTTGCCCTTGAGAGTCTCTCCACGAGTCTCCAGGATACGGTTCGCAAAGTGCGCAACACCGTAACCCGTAACTTGTGGGTAGTGGTAAGCCCCACCACTTAGAATTCCTTCCGTGCCTCCAGGATGAAGCTGACGCATACGTTTGTACTGTCCGAACATGTATCCGATCTCCTGCGGACCGACGCCGACACCCGCGGTGGGGACGTCAGTGTGGGGGCCAATGTAGTTGACCAGTTCGGTCATGTAACTCTGACAGAAGCGCATGATCTCCGACTCGCTCTTGTCCATGGGGTTAAAGTCTGATCCACCGTGGGCACCGCCGTATGGACCGGCCAATGCATTGCGGAAAATGGTCTCGAAGCCAAGGAACTTGGCGGTTCCATGGGTCGTCTCCGGGTGGAAACGTAGACCGCCCATGTACGGACCCAGAGCACTTGAGAACTGCACTCGGAAGCCACGGTTAACGCGGCTGCTGCCTTCGTCGTCGATCCATGGGACACGGAACTGGATAAGACGCTCAGGCTCCATAAGGGTCTTCATGACCCACGCGTACTTCGGGTAGCGGTCGAACACCGGGACGACGGAATTGACGAAGTTCTGCACGGCTTGGACGTACTCGGCCTGTAGGAGGCGGTTGGGAACGGTTAATGGCGCGTTTGGAAGAAGAAAGACAGGGCTTCCTTTTGAGCCATGAGGGGGCTTCGTACCTGGTTGGGATCACGACGAATCACCTCGTCCGTCAGCATGTCTGCGGCCTCCTGGCCGTTCCGGAACTTCTTGTCGCCGCCGCGACGGAATAGAGGCTTGTTCTTCCAGTGCTTCTTGCCGTGTGTAGTGCCGTGCACGTCCGACATAAGGGACGAGCTAGCGCGCGCTATTGCGGGCACCACGGGGTGCGAGCGGCGGGACAAAGACGACAGCATGGAGAGAGAGATTTTCGAGACTGAAGATCGTTGTGGTGGTGCATAATAGGTTGCTGAATGGCAGGGCAAAGTTGCTGCCGTTGAGTTATAATTGCAACTTGAGAGCAATGGTGCGCGATGGAAATGCAATGCGCAACGCAAACAGAAACCTGTTTGTTCTCAGATCTGCCTTCGAATAATGGTTATAACAGGATTTATTTTGTGAGGAGGAAAATATATAAAAAAATAATAAACTCGTAATTATCCGTATTAAGCGACTATAAGGTATGGCAATTTTTGCTCCGGCTTTGTCACAGAAATGCTTGTGAAAATAAGGTGGGGATTTCTACTACCGGTAAGGGAAATGGTCCATTAAGCGCCGTTTGCCAATTACTCCATTTTTGCCTGTCATGTATCGGTTTCGACTTTTACCTCTTCCTATTCGCTAATACGTCATAAGTACGAAGACCTGCATATTTTCATTCATAAATTTGGCAGGAAAGCGCCAGCATTTTAGCGCCACAGTCATTCAATCCTCAGCTACCATGACGAAGCCCAAAGGACGTCGGAGCTATACGACGGAGCTAAAGAACGAAGCTGTTGCTCGAGTTCGAAGAGGCAAGACTGTTGCAGAAGCTTCTGCTTCTTCAGGCGTTCCTGAGAGAAGGATTCGCAAATGGAGCACGAAAGTCAAGCAAGGAAAGTCGCTTGAGTCGGCACGTCCAGGAAATAAACCTCTTTTACCAGCAGAAGCGGAGCAGCATATATATGATTAGTTGGTTGGGCGACAGCTCGTGGGGTATCCTGTCGACCGGGCTAAAATTTTGAGGAAGGCAAAGGCGATTTCGCTACTCGTGTGTGGCAAGAGCGTCAGGGATGGATGGTACCGTCGTTTCCTGGAGCGTAATCCATCGTTAACGCCACGGATTGCTCAAGCGCTGTCGCTGAAGCGTAATTGCGTTGTGAAGGAAGATCTCACTACGTTGTTCAATACCCTGGCGAAGCTGGTTATTGAGCACCGTCTGGTTAGCTCTCGTGTATTTAATATGGACGAAACGGCTTTTCAAACCCGGAAAAGAGCAAAAAGGTGGTAGCTGTACGTGGTTCCTCCAATGTTTGGTGTACAGACCCATCCGTCAACTTTCATCTCTCTATTGTCGCGTGTGGAAGCGCTGCCGGTTTCGTGGTACCGCTCGCATTTATTCTGCCTGGCAAAACGGTTCAGTGGGATATTCTGGAGGCATGTGATGTTTCTGGGGCGTCTATTACAACGTCGCCGTCGGGATTTATCAACGCGTATCTGTTCCAGAAGTGGCTACAGATTTTTCCAACTCCGTTCCTAGCAGCGTGCAGTGACCCATCCTGCTGGTTCTAGACGGCTGCGCGTCTCACTATTCCGCCGATGTGATAGACGTCGCTACAAGTTTAGGTATTCTGCTGGTGCTGTTACCACCAAACGCAACACATTTGTTGCAACCGTTCGATGTTGCCGTCTTCGCGACGCTGAAAGACAAGCTGTGCAACCTTATAAATGAGGTCGTTGAAGAAGACGACGCGGGATGTTATTCTATCGACAAAGTGACGGCTATTAGGCTGGCTGGTATGGCATGGAAAAGCGCCAAAATTGGCCGAAACATCAAAGTTGGGTGCAAGACATGCGGAATATTTCCAGTGTCGCTGGTCAGTATGACCGAACGCCTCCAAATCTACAGCAAAAATGGCGCTCCGCGCCATGTCCAATTTGCATCCTGGCTGCATGCTAAACCGGTAGTAGAGGCTGAAGTTCTCATGCTGCCTTCGCCACAAAAAAAGACGAGTAAACGCAAGCGAGTATCTGTGGGAGGACGATGGCTAACCCATGAAGTGCTGCAAAAACTTACAGCCAGTAAAAGCAATGCCAAAGCAAAGAGACAAAGGAAACGAACGGCAACTGAGACCGCAAACGCACAGGCTCACGAAGCTGTACTCTCAGTCGTTGTGTAAGGGAATAAAAAAGATGTTAGTTTGAGTTTGTAGATATTCTTAGAAATTTCAACACTTATCATTTTAGTGCGGATAATTAACGGCAACGAGGGGACTCGAACCCGCGACAACCCTGCTCCCCGAGGGGCCCTCAATAAGCTGGCCGTCTAAACGGCTTGAGCTGTCAGCACTTAACATGAAACTGGGATCAGCTCAAATTTGGCCTTTCACCTACAGTAATAAATATACTGTTTCATTTTATGGTAGATCACAAATATCAACACTGACAGAAGACCTACACCTTTGTTTGGCAAATTTTCGCGTCTGGTTCCTTATAGTGAAATCAAGGTTAAAATCGGCGCTTAATTGGCAGGAGGTGCAAATTTGTGGACATCACAACACCTTGTGCTTTGAACGCGTTTTCATTCGCTAGTAGATGCAAATATCTCGAAAAAATCGAGGAGGGAATGGGCTTTCTGAAACTGTTTGCATTTACCCCTTATCAAAGTGGTTGCTGAGGAATGATCAGAAATATGCACAGCTTGTGACACGGCGCTTAATTGGCCATTTCCCTTACTGCGCGGGGTGGAAAGTGAATCTATCGGACAAGAATTGATTCCAAGATAGGCAATTAATTCCTACACCCATGGGCGTGGGATTTAATACAAGATAGCCTTTTGAGATCAGTATTTGATAGTAGAGGATCTGCAATATCCACGCAGGGCAAACATCTCGTGGTGGCAATCATGGAGTCGAGGTGGGTCTGCACGCGCATGCTGCTTTGGGGTGTGCAGAGCTGTGGCTCGTACGCACCGGTGTCATGAAGCAGCAGTTCCTCACTCCATGAATTTTAGGCTGCGCACACTTGTCTCCTCTTCTCTTTGTGTGTCTGCTAGTATGGAAGCAAATTACTACCCTACCAGCCAGTGCTGTGTGCTACAGAGCCACTCTCGGTAGCAATCTGACGAGGGTATGCTAGTCAACAGTGATTGTCTGAAAACCGACCTACGACACAGAGCTCGGGGGTAGGGGTGTGTGTGTTAATTTTCCAAGATCCCAGACCCCGTGGTAGGAACCAGGGCTTAACCCCTTAGTTCCCGTATGTTTAGCCGCTAAACATAAGAGGTGTATAGCTTCTTTCAGTTTTTTTCGGCATCTATGTTATGTTTAGCGGCTAAACATAAGAGAAAAACTGACTTGGAGTTTGTATTGAGCAGATCTCAAGAGAGCGCAGGAAAGCTCAATACTGAAGTCAAGACAAAAGTGGGAGCCTAAAACGGCCGGATGCACAGGCTTAGGGTAGCTGGACCGGATTCCTGATTGAACGAGATAAAGAGAGGCGGTGTCACCCACCACCAACGGGTGGCCGACAGTCACAAAACTCTCTCATACTTCAAAACGACCGCAGGGGCAGCAGACCAGAATGGTGGCGACGTCTGGCAAGATGCCACGACGGACGCTGACAGCGGAAGAGACCCGGTTGTGCAAGGCAGCCCTCAGTGACCGCCACAAGCGTCGCCTTCGTCGAGACGACGAGAGGCAGTCAGCAGCAGAGCCAAAGCATGGCGCTGAGGGGCGTGCGTTGAAGAAGCAGTCTAGGAAGAGGGCGGTGAAACTTACGACGACAGCCATGGAGATAGCAGAGTCTAGAGGTCCACATATTGAGCCGGCAGCACCCAAAGAGACAGAAGCAACAGCGAGTACGGACGAAGCTAAAGAGGTAATACCTGTTGCAGAAAATGAGGAAGATTCTGTGGAACCAGAGGTGGAGGAAGTTGTAGCAGACGTGGTGATGGCTGTGGCTTCAACTGTGGCTTCAAGTGCGCTTCTAACGCCTGTGCGAGATGCTCAAGGCGCTGTGGAGACCTTGCGCCCCCCTCAACCGAACAAGCAGGCGCCGGTTACGCAAAGATCCCCGAAACGACGCCGCCGCGTCCTACAAGACAGTCCAGAACGCGAAGCTCAAGCTGAAGGCACCATAAGTGACACCACAGACACCGGTGCTGCGTCAGCTGCCCCGCATCTCCCTGTCGCCTGCGTAGTCGACGGTGATCCTAACATCATGGCGGCTGGTGCACGTGAGTGCACTGGCCTCGGATCAGAAGAGGAATCTGGTCCTGATTCAGACGATGACGACGCGGACAGTGAGTGGGAAGGAGATTGGGAGCTTGGAGAACTCTCTGATGAGGAGTTAGCCGATTGCGTTGGAACTGAACTACCGGACACGTTCTGCAAGTCGGTGGCGATGAATGCGGCGCGTTTGGCGGAGATGAAACATTCTGGCTGGGAGTATGGTAAGTTATGTTGAGCGCTATCCAGCATACGCAACTATTATTCCGTCGTTGTCTAACATAATGTTAACATTATCTAACTCACTTTGATGTGCTATTTGTAGACCAGTCCAAATTTGGAGACAATCCTACGTATGAAGACCTTTACGACGGGCCTTATGGACCATCTGAGAGCGTCCTTGGAGTGGCTGAAGACCCACTGGCGCTGTTCTTCTACTACCTACCGCCAAAATTGTGGAGACAGATTGCCGTCGAGAGCAATCGCTACCACACGCAGTCGATACCGGGTCGTGCGCAGGCGATTCAAGCGAAGCAGCGTCGTGGTGGTGGAGAAGTAGAGAACCTCGCAGATATTCGTCGGCGACTAGCACGTGTGAAGCCGATAGAACCGTGGGAGGTTTTGCGCGTCATCGCGCTTCTTATTGCAAGGATGCTGTCTCCAGTGCGAAAGGGGATTGCTGCTCACTGGGAGTTGACACCGGCTGGTGCGTTGCCAACGCCACGCTTCGGCAAGTACATGTCCCGCAACCGGTTCTTCCACATAATGGGATACTTGCACTTCTCCAACAACAAGTCGCCTCAAGCTAGCACGGATCGTGTATGGAAGATTCGGCCGGTTATCGAGGTTTTACAGCGTACATTTGCGCGCGGCTACAAGATTCCTCCTATCATTAGCTTTGACGAAGCTACGCTGCCTTCAAGATCCCGCTACAATCCTACCAGACAGTTCAACAAGGACAAACCGCACAAGTGGGGGACCAAGGTGTTCGTGGCAGCGT